GCCCCATATCCAGCTACTAACGAGACAACACATGAAAGCCCGAGCAATCAAGTCGAGTCTTACCTCTGCCTCCTCTATCGATAACATAAATACCCATCCTTACCCTGAAGAGGGATACGACGACTCAATGTTACTTATCACCCTTTGGCTTAAGCACATGCACTCTATCCCAGCGCGCTACATGTATCTGTAATGCCTGTACACCGATCAACAAAAAACATGAAAACAAACTACTACTGCCAAGTATCTTTTGCAATGTGCACTCAGACCAAAACGGTCCCACCTGAAAGAAAAATCAGACCGCTGAGCATTGCCTAGGGTTTAGGGTTTAGGGTTTAGGGTTTAGGGTTTAGGGTTTAGGGTTTAGGGCAAGACAAGACTACACCTGGAACCGGGATGATAATGTTCAGTAATTATTGCCTATGTTCCCGTTACTCATGAGAAAAGCCCTACCTGGAAACAGAATGCTGAGTCTTGCCTCAGAATCATACAATATGGTGATGCAGTTCCGGTATTTTCTACATTGGACGACCCGCCACAGACCCACAAACTTTCATGAACAAGTCTGGCTAATTAGTGCGTCTTATCCAAGCAACTGTTTCCGCCTTAAAAACACAAAAGGAGTTCTGCTTACAGCCCTGCGGAGTCATGCAGAGGAACTCACTTCCAGCATACTACCCAACTAAGTGTTGTCGTTATCCTCATTTTGCCTCGGAAACTCGGACATCCTGTGTCGGAATCCGTATTGTACAGATCCCACTATGTAGGTCTCTGTATGGGGTTTAGGGTTGAGGGTTTAGGGTTTAGGGTTTAGGGGGTTCTCTTTCTTCTGGAAACTCGCACATGATGCTGGCCGCCACTCACTGCCAGAAACTGCCGGCTCCAAGCGAACAAAACACAAGGTCTGACCAAGGATGCAGCAGTGGGCTGCATCCCAGACCTTGCTGAGGGAGTACATCCTTATGACAATCCTGAGTTAGGGTTTAGGGTTTAGGGCTCAGGGGGTTTAGGGGTTTAAGGTCTAGGGTTTAGGGGTTTAGGGTTTTAGGGTTTAGGGTTTAGGGTTTAGGGCTCACGGGGTTTAGGGGTTTAAGGTTTAGGGTTTTCGGGGCATGTCTGTGGCTCCATCATGGCTTCACCGACACGCTCTCCGCAACCTCAGCTGATGGTTCGGTGATGAAGCTTTCTTGAAGTCTCCGCCGTAGGCTGTAACAATGGTGTTGCATAGATTAAAGGTGTAGTGAACAGGCTGAATCTTATACTCTTGCCACTTTCTGGGGACGTTTGGGAGTTTCGGAAGGTAAGGGACCCAAATACAAAACCCCAGAGAATAGGATCCTTACTATAAGGACTCTGCATGGGGTATCCTGTTTTCTATGTCCAGAACTCAGGGTTGTTGCACTTCATCTGTAAAAGATGATTATCGATGGGGTCCTGCAGCCAGAAGCCCTTCATGAGAGTTCCTGAAGCTAGGAGCCCCTAATACAAACTCCAAAATAAAGAGATGCTCGTTATGAGAACCCTGAAATACGGGACCGACCCTGCACTCTACAAACCCCTCAGCCGTAAATCAGGGGCCTCCCAATTTTCTGAAATCCCCAACGCGAAGCGATTCAGAACCGGATGGGACTCCATGACGCCAAACTAATCTTGGGAAATATTCAGGCCCCTGTATTAGGACTCTCCTGCTGCGGGTCTAGGAGAATACACAGAGATTCATCACGCGAGCCTCAGACAGTCCCGGTGAAGGCTGGAAAAGATGTGTTAGGGTGTGGGGTTTAAGGTTTAGGGTTTAGGGTGTAATTAACGTATTGGGTTTAGGATTGATGGTTTAGGGTATTAGGTTTAGGGTTTTGGGACACTTTACACAGCACACTTTTCTCAACTTAGCGACTTGACAAGCTCACGCTTGCAAGAACGCCGTCTTACTTTTCTTTTACTAGCCACAACCATTAGTGCCAGTCCCAGATCTTGCTTGCTACTGCTAGTCGATCCTGACTTCTTATGAAGATCAGCACTGCGAGTGTTAACACACTGCCGGCTGCTGCAGGCGGCACTACCGTGTTCCCAAATCCTAAACCCTAAAAACTACACCCTAAACCCTAAACCCCCAAAACCCTACACCCCAAACCCCTAAACCACACCCCAAACCCCTAAACCCTACACCCCAAACCCCTAAACCCTAAATCCTACACCCCAAACCCCTAAACCCTACACCCCAAACCCCTAAACCCTACACCCCAAACCCCTAAACCCTACACCCCAAACCCCTAAACCCTACACCCCAAACCCCCAACCCAATAACCAAGCCCGAAGGTCCTTGTGAAGCTGCTCCAGGCTCCAGTCTAGGCTTCCTACACCCTGAGACCCCAAAACAAGGACCCGCCAAGCCATCCAAAACCTCGGTGAACGAGCTTAGGAAAAAGTCCATCTATTTGACATTCTACCGCCGGCCTATCTATCTGTCTATATCTCTATCCAATCCATATATACATATCTCTCTCTCTCTCTCTGTCTCTCTCTCTCTCTCTCTCTACCTACCTATCTATCTATCTACCTACCTATCTACCTGTCCATCTATCTTTCGATTCTGTTCTAGGTTCCCCAGTAAACCCTTTATGATAAGGTTACCCTTTGTCCTTACATTCGGTTTTCTTAAGGGAGACCCTAGAACAAAAAAGGCCAAAGGGTACAACTGGGGAACCTTCTGTTCCCCTACATCCTAAACCCTAAACCCTAAACCCTAAACCCGAAACCCTAAACCCTAAACCCTAAACCCTAAACCCTATTCTGTTCTATCTTCGAGCAAAGATGGTCCGAGCTCCGGCCTCTGAGAGTGCCGAGGTCGCCGGCCGGAGGTCCGGAGGCATCGGGAAGGGGTCCACGTCGTTGGCCTCTTGAGACTTTGTAGGGTTTTGGGTTTAGGGTGTAGGGTGTTTGGGGTTTACGGTTTAGGGTGTGGGG